GAATATAATATTAGGATTTAAGATCCTCCAATGTCACGGTCTTTGGCAAATTGAGAAGAAACCCATGCAAGGCCCCACTTTAAGTTTGTGAGAACATATTTCAGTGCTTTGGTCCACTGTTCTTCTGAATTCAGCTGTATTCTGAAAATAAATGTTGAAGTTATTAGTTCCTGAGGTGACTTTGTTGTAAATTGATTTCATGCACTGGATGTGTTTAACATACTTGATTGAAAAAGAATTTCCAGTAGTTGAGTCTTCGATACGCCCTCTCTCCATACGATATGGGAGACTGAACCCAGAATCCCCTCTCTCGACAGCCTCCTTGAATTGCTGCAAGCATTCTAAGAAAGCTACCATGGCTGCGTCAAACTTTGTGTCCCACAGAAAGCGGAAACCACCAGATCCATAAAGAGGCAATTCTCGATTTTCAGCAATGTCCTGCAATATAAGTAATAATAGTAAGACACTTAACACCAAACAATGAGAATGAATTAATTTAAAGCATATAATGTAAAACCAAATTAGATGCTATAACTGACTTCAGAAAACAAGAAATCTAATTGTAGATGAAATACACATACCACATACCTCTATGTATGAGTGGTTCCCGTATGGTACAAGACGATATCTTTCAAATGTCAAATCCATCTTCCGGGCCAAAGCTGACAATAGAAGAGCAGTTTGCCCCCAAGCAGCATTGATTTCACTCCAATCAACAGGAGCACTAGGGAGCCTTCCAAGACGGAAAGAATTAATTGTTCCAAAGTGACCAGAGTGCCATATGTGGAATGTAGCGTTGAAAACATTAGTCTTGCTCAGTTTGTCAAGTTGGTTATTTGTGTAACTTAATTGACACTCCAGGCTAAAATAAATAGGATTGATGAGATAAAATATTTTAAAAGAGAAGATCAAACTTTAAGGATGAAAATGAGCGTGGATCTTTACCTTCGAAATTGATCTTCGGCTAAGAGTAGATCCCGACGATGTCGAGTGTATTCTCTCCAATATCGCTCCTCTTCAGCAGCTATCCTTTCTTTTTCTTTTTCTTGCTTGGCGACAGCTTCTCTCGCTGCTTTTTCTTTTACTTGTAGCTGACTCAGTTCATCTCTCAGTGATTCTTCTTCCAATTTCATCTAGAATGCCAATTATCAATAGCAATCATTGGGTACAGACAAAATAAATAGCTTAGGAAGCAATGTATACAACTACATTTGTTAGTAAAATTCCAAGTAGGTCAAGGTACGTACCTCTGCCAGTTCCTTCTCAAGAGATTCAAGACTATGTGGTGGATCTTCTTCAGCCTGCAGTCTATCCAGGAAACGGTTATAATCATTGCATTCAACTTCTGTTAAATGCAACTGTTGTTCTAATAGCTCCAATAGCTGGTCAGTACATTCTTCACATAATGGGTGATCTATGTCAGAATTGGATGAAAGCATATCCAAAAGCTCTGATGTCACCTACAGAAGAGAAAGATAAAAGAAATATCAAATAAGTAAATTGAAAAACAAAATGTGTACTAAAAAAAGTAATTTAGCAATTTAACAAACGTACCCTCATTTTATGGCTAATTTGATTCAGTTCCCCTTCTTTGCCTACGACGGTGAATCCATTGGCCCCAGTTCCCGACTCAGTTAGACGGAAAGCTGGAGTGTAACGGTCCAGACTAACTGCTTCAGACTCCAAGTCCACATCAGGATGGTTGTGAATCGGTACTGAAATATGAGAAAACTTGAATAAATTATTGTGAATTACTCACAAAATTGGGTTACACGACCATAACCTCGATAAAATGTTGAAAACAGTGCAACTTTCTTCTTTAAAATTGTTAAGTAGTATGCCCGTACTAGTTCTTGCACCTTGGAAATTTTAGGATGATTTAGGAGGTAAAATTCAATTTTTAGGCTTGTAAAACTTACATGACAGCTCTGCGAGCGTATGCTCCCCTACGCTCCCGAAAGAGGAATCTAACTTTAAAGGCTGTAAACATCTTTGACACGTGAAATCGACATTTATTTTAGGCTCCATTGCAAATGAAATAGTGGACTAGGCTTGACGAACAGACGACGTTGCCAAATTAAAAAGCATCATAACAAAAATTCACAAACAGTGCAAATTGATGGATCAACACAAGCCCACCCACACTCAATCTTGTGCATCTGTGTGTGGTCAGTGCGAAAGTGAATGTAACTGCAAGTTTACTTCAAACTTATCTTATTCATTTCTGTTGCAACTATCAATACTACATAATATAATTTATGTTATATTTTAACTTAACAAATTCTCTACTTGTCATTATCGGACGATGGATAAATCTTAAAGTGGTAAAACCCGACACGTTTTGATTTGTTGTTGTGGCAGTTTTGGCTCGTTTGAATCTCGCGCCTCCTCACACACGAATCCGAAGGAAAAACCGGAAATGACCTAAAAGAAAGCTGCAGAAAGCTCAAATTGTTCTTGTTTCAGCATTAAGGCATTATTTATTTTATTAAACGAAATCTAATAATAACCATGGTCATAGTAGCAGGCTAAATACCACTTTTTAAAAAAATCTTGCTTATATTATTGGCTCTTCTCAGTTAACTCTCAAGGGAAAGAGACACTCGAGGTAAAATTTAGTGCCAAAGTTGTTGAGGTTAGACGTCCGTCATTCCTCTTTCTTTGATTTCAAAAGATTTAAAGGTCTTTACATAGCAGACTAGTAGCAGACCGAACTTCTAGTACGTCTGACAGTATATTTAGTTATAGTAATGGATTCATAATTACAAAATTATGAAGGTTGGATGGATGAGAAAGCAGTTGTGACAGAAGTTGTATCTCAAGAAAAACATTACTTTTTGCAGCTCATCATGCCTGATAAAGAAAATTTAAGATTAGCTGTCATATGCTCCAGCAACATGAATCGCAGTATGGAAGCTCATGCATTTTTAAGGTTGGACCAAAGCTAGCCTCTAAAACCTCATTCCACACTGTTATCCCTATATACCTTGCACACAATTATTTGAAATTTATTCGAAGAGTATCCTATTTGTTATGCAGAAATTTTCTCTTTCAGTAAAAAGGGTTTTCAAGTGACATCATTTGGAACTGGAGACAAAGTCAAACTCCCTGGAACTGCTCCCGACAGACCCAACTGCTATGAATTTGGCACCACATATGAAGAAATATACCAAGACCTTCTGGGCAAAGACAGATCATTGTATCCTTTTATTATTAACTTACTGATATTAAAACAACAGTCTAGAGAATTTTTTTTTTGTCAGCTTACCAAAACCACTTTGTAAAACGAGAAATTTCTTAACATGTGTTAGTTATACGCAAAATGGACTGCTTCATATGCTGGATAGAAATCGTCGGATCAAGATGTGGCCTGAAAAATTCCAGCTTAGCACCGAACAATTTGATGTAATATTCACTTGTGAAGAAAGAGTGTATGATCAGGTTGTGGAATGTGAGTTAAATTACCATACCATACTTAAAATAAATATATCCATGAACTAAATTAAATCAGTACCACACACGTTATCATTACAGGGCTATCAACTAGATCACCTGTTGATACAGCATCAGTTCATGTCATTAATATTGATATTCAAGACAACCATGAAGAAGCAACTATTGGAGCATTTCTCTTTTGTGAACTTGCTGCACTGGTTAGTACGCATTACTATTAAATCATTTTTAAATTGTGTCCATTAAGTTACTCCTCTCCAAGCTAAAACCTTGTTTCATTATCTTACAGCTGACTAGTAGTGAAGATCTGGACAATGATATAGATGAACTTCTTCATGACTTTGAAACAAAATGTCAAAGACCCATACTGCATTGCGTACTATTTTATTAATAGCTTCCCATACACTCTCACGAATTTTGCCTCCTAAACATATGTGCTTATGGTGTCGGATAATCACTGTCTTAATAATATCAAGTATATATTTTTCCAATCTTCCAGTGTGTCCAAATATTCTGAGGTGAATCATTAGATTAGTCTTACAATATTATGCCTTTTTCTAGACAAGATCCAATTGTGTGCCAAATTAACATGAACACATTCAAACAATGTATCACTTCCCCCTGCTACCTACCAAGGAAGTAGCATAAACCATTGAACTTCCCCTTTTCTTTTTCTGTTTTTGATTTCAGTGATATTGATACTTATTTTTTGTTAGGTGAAAGGTGAAACTAATTTATTTATGTACCGTTAGCTAAAAGCACGTTTCCTTTGTCTAAAGATGCCTAGATTTATTTCTTCTCTTGTATATAAACTGTGTTTATATAGTTTTCTTTTGCTGGTGCTTGTCACCTTTAAGGTCAATGACAGTCCTCTGACTACTAACATTTGTTGAAGCTCCTTGAAATTGAATCCATGCTATCTTAATATGTGATGTTAAACTCCTAATGTACTTGTGTCAGAATTTTGCTTCTTTACAATGCTGTATAGAAAATGAAATGCAACTTATGAAAAATATTTATATGTATAGAAAGAGGGTACCTATTGTGCCAAAGTTATTATTTTAAAAGTTATCTGCATAAAGTTAACGGTTCTTCAAGACATCATGACAACAACTTTTTTTTTTGTGGTAGAGCATAATTTATTATGATTATTATGTACAAAGCGTATATTATACAACTTGTTTGCAAGCTCTGAAAAAATAAGTGACATCTTACAACCATACCACCATTTCTCTAGAGTAGGGAATAAACCACATGAACTTCTTCATCCAGAAATCAATCTACAGCTTAAGCATCAAGGTGTCCATACAGGCGCCGCAGTTTTTCCTTTTTATTCCGATTGTTGTGCTTCTTCCATGGTTTACTTTCCACACTTTGTCTGCAACAGGAGAAGTATAATAGAATGTGATGGACTTCTCTGGAAAATTTATCTAAATCTCCTACTTACTCATCGCTAGGTTGATTTCCAGTCTTTATGAGCTGACGACCTTTGTGATGAGCTTTGATATTTGCTTTCTCAAAGAACACCTTATCTAGATCCGCAGAGGTCATTTTGTTGGGCTGTAAAATAGAATGCACAATGGTTCTCAGTCCAATAAATCAACCTACATGAGACATGGGTCTGCTTTCACTATCAGAGTGCACATACCCTCATAATTTTTTCTCCTTGAGGGGTGACAACACTGCCTGCATGCTTTGTCTGACGACATCTTGGAGGAAAGGTATGGAAGTCATCTTGAATTACACCAGGAGGTGCACAGCAGTAGAGCAACTTTCCAGTTACAAAGTCTTTAAGGATTATTCTAGCAGCCCGAGGGTTATCAGGGATGCCTTTATGTGTCATGAAGCCTCTATTATCTGCAATTCAGAAAGAATATTTAACATCGGAAAAAATAAACGTGCTTTAAGGAAAAGACCCACAAACATTAGAAGAAAGATTTACTAACAGCCATAAGCATTAAGCAGTTCTTGTGAACTAGGATGTCGCAATGGATCTTCGCCTTCCAAGGGTTTCGGAAGCATGATACCATAGGTATCTTCAAGAACATGTCGTGGTATTAACGATGACAGCATGTTAATTGGCTGGACATGGTCCCTCAACTGATCTATCGGCAGGATACCATTGAGGACCATGTCAGCTCGAGTTGATACAAAACTTGGCATAACTAATCCAGGGCAATCACAGAGCATTAGATCACTGTCCAAAAATAATGTCTGTATGGACAGAAGGACATGTCAGATTCAAGACACTAATAATACACACACCAAGAACAAACTAGGTACCAACCTGAAAGTGCTTTGTTTTTCCTGGGGTAGCAGAAACAGACACCTTTTTTTCAGCCATGAGTGAGTTGATTGTTGAACTCTTTCCCACATTTGGATACCCCACCAAGCCAACAGTAGTAACACCGTTGGTTAACTTAGGACCTTTGTGCACTGTCTTCAGAAACTCAATTAATTCTTTTCGGGATAGTAACTGAGAAGAGTTTTGATGACTTAAATTGGCTATAGAGGTTGAATGGGACACACTATCAGTATTGCTAAAATGTGCTGAATTAGAATTACTGGTTTCTGGTTTGATTGATCCATCAAGCTCGGAAGACTTGCTAAACTGTGTAGGGTTGACTACATTAGCCTCCTCTGTACTTTCTTCATCAGTTTGTTTAATTTCCTCACTGCCCTTAGCCTCATCCTCTTCTTCACTTTCGTCTTCACTGTTTGGTCCATCAACTACTTTGGAATTTGTTGATGTTTTGGGACCCTTGGAATCTTTGTCTGTGTTGTTTTCATCTTCATCTTCATCAGCAGCTAAGGTAGCACTAAAGAATGCAACTCCAACTGATATTGATGTAAAGTATTCAGCCCAAGCTTCTCTTTGCTTTTCAGTCAAAAAATCAGCTTTGTTAATCAATATTAAATTAAGTTTGTTTGGAGAAACCTCTTTTGCATAGGCCTCCAGGTCAGCACAGCGAAATAGTAAGGGGTTTCTTGCATCCACAATCTGAACTATGACATCACTAAACAAACAATATAATTATTAGAAAAATTACAGTGAGTTTCTAAAGTAGACAGGTACCTTCATAAATATTACCTGCGCTCAACAACTCTCCACAGTTGCCTCCAAAACTCTAAATTTTTTTCATATGGAGTCAAAAGAAGACCCTCTGATTCTTGCAAAAGAGCCAAACGGCGACGCCATTCCAAAAATGTTTGTTTCTCTAAGGCTTCGAGTTCAGCTGCTGTTGTTTCCTCAGTCCAATGAGGGCTAGTAAAATAAAGCACATCACACATCAGCCTCTTTTTAACAGAGAACGCTTTGTTAACACTGGAAGGTGTCAAGAAGCCAAGAAAGGATATATTTATCTAGTCGTATCTTTTACCGTCTTGGTATCTGAAGATCTCCTTGGTGCTCTTTGTGACTCTTCTCAATAGCCTCCCTTTCTTCTTTACTAAGAAGTCCAATATTTGCAAGAGGATTAACAAATTTAATATTCAACTTTTCCGCCTGTTGATCAAAGAATTCAGTATAGCAAGATGGGAAAAAAGGGGGCTGGGGGGCATCACATCAGTCGGAAAGAGGTTCTATGCAAGAATACCTGAAACTCTGAGTTGGCAAGTTCCGCAGTTGACAAAAACTCCTGAAAGGAACTTTCTTCTGTGACAGACTGTAGATTTAAACGACCCCAATCATAACCATCATCAATTTCAGAAGTGTGTAGCTGAAAAATACAAAAATTGTAAAACACAAACATATGAAAAATTCTTCACATGTAAGTACAGCACATCCATCTAGGCAAAGTCATCAAATTGTTATCTCACCCCTCCCAAAAAAATTTACAACATGGGACTCATTAATTAACAAAGAGTCAAAATAAACATAACCTGGACGATTTGGCAGATTATTTACCATAGAGACATCGCCACCTCTTCTCCCTTTTTGAGCTCCAAATCGATCCTTTATAAGTGCACGCCCTAAGCTCGTTGATGGCTTGTTCTTTCTACTCATGATCAAGGATTGCACAACGAATTTAAGTCAATTAATCGCTGTAGAACAAGCACGTTTGTCGACACATGTGTCGATGTGATCAAAAACAAAAAGTCGTCTGCACTTGCCGAACATCAGTATGACGAATTTTGCGGTAGGTTCTTTTGTGACGTCGCCGCGTTTGCGCACGCGCACTTCCCTCCCTTCCCTTCCTTCCCCACTTCACCCACTTCACTGGGGGATTAAAATAGTTTATTTTGGATTTTCAGTTGATAAGAATATTTCATTGTAATGTTGCGAAGTGCCTCAAAATTCTCGCGATATCGACAGCTAGAGGTATTTGAAATTCATTCAGTACATCATCAATGCTCCTTTTCCTATTTTGATTGCTCGTTGGACATAACCTCCCAAATCTGACTTGTTAAAGGACACATTTCCTGTCAAAATCAACTTAAATGCCAATCATGTTACTATACTGTCTCAAACTACGATACTTTTCATGAAAGTTGGAGGAGCTTTGCTTGAACCTGATGTCGTTTACTTAATATCAACATGTATTCAATGTAGACAGAGACAAATTCTACATTTTTTAAAATTTCTTGTATTATAAGTCCGCCTATATCAGCTAGTATATTTCATTGATATTTTGATTGCAGCTTGGTATTTTACATAAACCATGTGGGCCTCAGACACAGATACGACACAGCTCAAACTCTGGATCTACCAAGAAAGGGGGGTTAGTCGAGACTTTCACTTTGATGAAAGAAATGCCTTTATTCTCTTTTTTATTTATATATTTAAATTGTTTTATTTATTGTTTCAGCTTTGGTATCATAAAAACACTTGCGGGTCTAGCTGCTGTGACTGGAGGCACCTTTTCCTATGCCAAGTATGATCCCGAATTTAGAGAGTGGCTCAATACTCAAATTCCATACACCAGTGATGCTATCAACATACTCTTTCAAGAGGATCAAACTTTCTCTGAAAGGTTTGATAATTATCTAGAAAGCATTCAGAGCTGGTAAGTTTGTATCTACCTCAAGTTTCCTCTCTGTAAAGCAGGCATAAACATTTAATATGGTGTTCCGTTTGTTGCCTTTCAGGTTTGGAGGCTGGTTTTCAGCTAGTGAGCCACAACTTCCAAAAAAAGTTGATATAGCACCAGTTAAGAAACAAGAAGTGGTTCCTTACACAGGTAAATAAACTTTAAAAACCTGCCGCTCCAAATACCAAAAGTGAAAGAATCTGTATTACTTACACGATTTTATCCAGTTACATAAGTCTATTTCAAATATATAAACAAATGTTTACAATGTGAATTCCCTCTAAGCAAGTTACATTGTTTAGCTCCCATATCCGCTGTCTCCCCTCTCCTTGATGGAGAGATTATCCCCGAGTCCAATGCCTGTGACCCTCCAATGAAACCTTGGAAAGAAATTCGTGTTTTAGCACCTCATGAAAATGTTAAAACAAGTAAGATATTTTATGACAAGTTCCAAGAAATTTATTTTTTCATTTCTCAATGTAGCTCTTACAAAAAGACAAATTAAAACCTGAAACCCTGTGTTAGTTGTTGTACAATAAGTGTTCTCAGTTCCAATTGTCATCAAGGCAGAATTTAAATTGTGGTTTTCTTTATCCCTTTATATCTAACCTTGTTTGTCTTTCTTCTTACGATTTAGTTACCACCATTGACAAACCAAAAAAAGAGGAAAAGAAGTCAGAAGATCCAAAAGCAGTGACTCCATTGAAACTTGCTGATCTTGAAAAGGAAATAACTAGGAATACAACAGTAGCAGTTGAAACATATAACAAAGCCATTAATGCCATAAGAGGTATAATCTTTCAATTTACTAGAGTCATATATTTCTTTGTCAATTTAATTGTTACATTTTAAGTAATTTTTTTTCTGTCTCCTAGATCAAGCAAGGTTTGTGCAAGAATTGGTGACCAGTGATCAGAACCGATTGCCACCCCAGCTTTGGCCAACTCTAAAACAGAAGTCTGAGGTTCTAGAAAGTTTACTTACCACAGCTGAAGAAAGTGCCAAGGCTGCTCAGTAAGTGAAACTTAACTTCAGGCCTCACGCTTCTCCTATGAATATACATGTGTATTTACAATGCTGGAAAAGTTTGGGTGTTATATTTCTAAACTAACATTCCACTGGCTTTGCTCTTACAGAAATAAAATGAAAGAAATGGAGAAACTGTTAGCCACTGGTGAGGTAGAAGCTCCGGCTTCAGTAAAAGAACATCTTCAAAGAAATATTAAACGAATGAAAAGCGATATTGAAAAGGCTTGTCAAGATGCGGAGGATGAAAAGTTTGCAACGAATGTCACTAAAGGCCTGTGGCCGCGGGTACAAGAAGCTCGGAAGTATTGGCAGGTACAATTTATCTGGATCATCCCTATCAAAAGCTACTTTATTTTATATCATATCTCTTGGGGTTAATTATAGTATTTAAAAATATTATTACAGGATGAACTTGAAATGCTGTTCCCAGGACTGAATTTGGACAACCAAAATGTTACTGCAATGGCAGATGAAATAGGACAATTTGTGCTGTACTCCTTTGTTAATGTTCAATACTTTCAGAAAGAACTTGCTAAGCTCGAGGTACTCTAGTAATATTTAATTAAAAATTTACAAATTGATGAACTTAAATGGAACAGGTAGTGTACTGTGTTTAAATCCCTAGGTAATATCTTTTGTCTAAATTACAGATGAACGCAGAAAAAAAATTACGTGATGCCATTGAACTGTCAACTAAATCAAGTGATTCCAGCGCCTTGGTGAAAGCAGCTGTGGAAGTTGAACTAGAAAATGAGCGAAGAGAGCTAGATATTCAGTATCAGAGAAAGGTACCTACATAGGTGTTGTATGACTTATACCTATCTGTATCTACAGGAAAAAAAAATTTACATCTACATTCTCCCTGCTGATTGTGCTGCTGCTTCTTTTGCAGTCTATGGAGTTGCGTGCAGCATGTGAACAGGAAATTCGAAAGCAACTTCGAATTCAAACAGAGATTCAGGCAGATCACCTCAGAGACTCTATAAAACTACGAGAAATGGAGATTGAAAGAGCTCATCGTCGAGAGCTTGGAAAAGTGCTTACTGAAGAAAATACAAAATACCAGATGATATTGGCTGCTCTCCTAGGTCGAATGAGAGGCATCCACCAAGGCTTACAAGGTAAAACACATCTCTGTGTGTTGAAAACCTGTTGTTGTTGTTTTGTTGTATTGTAGGCTAGAATGTTTTTGCTCTAATTTCTTATCTATCTATTCCATCTTAAGATTTTGTTCAAGTCGACAAATCTGCTCAAGAAGCTCAAGATCTGTGGATAGCGTGTCAAGTTCTCTATCGCAACTTACAATCTCCTAATGGGGTCCAACCCCTTGCTAATGAAATAAATTCAATCAAGAAAATTGCTGGTAAGAATTTACATTAGTGCTTACAAAACATTTCTTACCGTTAATTTGTTTGCTGCTAAAGTACATTATAGAAATTATTTTTTTAAATCAGAATCTGATGAATTGGTCAAAGCAGTTGTTAAAACATTGCCTCCAGAGGCCACTTCAAGAGGAATATTTTCTCCCAGAGTGCTTAGGGAACGCTTTTTAAAGGTAATCACATCAAAACTCTTTGGATTGACTATACCATACCTATGTATAAATAACCAGTTTTTGACTTTCACAAACTTTGTAAAATTATCCAATACATATTTGATTGTAGGTTGAGAAAGCAGCCCGGACCTTAGCTGCAGTACCCGAAGATGGCGGTGCTCTCCCATTGTATTTACTTTCTTGGGTTCAGGGCAATTTGATGTGGTCAGACACTGAGCTTATCACAAAAGAGGAATTAGAGGACTTACCAACAGCTCATGAACACCTGAATAACTATGACCTGTTGTCAAGAGCAAGGTAATTAGTAATTAAAGAAATAGTTCTTAGAGTTTGACTTTTACTTATGAAATTCACAAGTTTTTATTTACCAAAATCACTTTTATGTAGGTTTTGGGTTGACCGTGGAGATCTTACTCAAGCATTGAGGTATATGAATCTTCTTAGTGGAGCATCAAAATCGATTGCCAAGGACTGGATGAAGGAAGTTCGTATTTATTTAGAGTGCCAACAGGCAGCAACTGCTCTAGTTACTCATGCTTCAGCAAAAGGTCTAATGTACTCATAATACGGTTTATACAGTAATTCTTTCCCTTATTTTTTGTGCTAGATAGCAAAGACCAGTTAAAACCTGCCACTAGAATGGCTTTTGTTATTCATGGAAGTAAAATAGATTGTTCTGCAATCCTCTTTTAACTTTCACTTTTTAGATTGTTGAATTTACCTCTGTTCATAAGGAGATTTATTGAGTTGTTCAACTGTTAAACTACACCTGCTTTCTGATCACCTGATCTTCGACAGCAACAATTTGAAAAGTATGAGATACAGATCATGTTTGGCCTGTGAATAATTCTCATTGCAAACAGTTAACATTTTACTTTTCTGTGATAACATAACTTTATGTGGTCAGTTGAGAAAAGAACTCTTTACAAGATCTACTATGAAATTAATTTTATGACTGTCACCTAGACTTCAAAATAATGGTTTCACTTGATTACACAGACAACTTGTGAGCTGTAAATATAAATGCATCTTTATTGTTACATACCTGTTTTGGTACTGTTTTACATTAAAACTTGCCTTTGTAACATACTGTTATTTATTTTGTAGACTGAGGAAGATACTGTAGTGTCTGCTACATTATTTTGTGATAGAATTAAAATGTTATTCCACAACAATAGTCCTGGTTTCAACTTGATTCTTCAATATTGTGGTTTAATGTACCATGTAACGTACGGCGGGGGCAGGATCGCTAGGCACTAAGCTTCTTTTGGTATAATTTGTTTAAGACCTTTGGGTTGAAGAAATCCCAAATAAAATATGTATTTTCTTTCTTCAGGCCATTCTACAATAGGGCAGGAGTAGGTATTAAGTAGTAGGTGTAGTGGCTGTGTTTCTCCCCTCAAGCCTACAATAACTGGTGAGTAGCAGCTTTTGCTTTGGTGATCTGTTCCAATCCCACTCAAGGCCCACTCCACAGGGAAAAGTTCTCACACTTCACTCCCTTACTCCAACCCATTAGAGATCAGCCTTTAGGAATATTTAGGAACTAATGTTAAAATTGAAAGGGGGCCTTCCCTGTTAAATTATCCAAGGAAAGAAATTTTATATCCAACCAAATGAATTACAAGTTGCAGTGCTTTATTTAGTGCTTGAGGACGGACAAATTACAACACTTTGAGTCAGAGTATAAAATTGTTTTTAAAACGCTTAAGATAAATAATAACTTCAATTTTAGATTTAATAACCCCCCCGCTTTTCTTCAGGGCTATCACGTTCTCCTTCCTTTGGGGGTATGCTAGACGGTTCGTTCTTCCCGTTCTCACTGTTGCCAGACTTCTCATGCCTGACAATATTTTAGATTCCCTGCCGATGCTTCTCTGTCATGCTGTTCCCGGCCTCCAGTTAATCTCTAGTACATTGGGTGTTTATTCTGAGTTAATATGAAATGTTGAATTGCTCAAATTAGTGAAATAATGAAGGCATTGGAACTGCGGCAACAGCGGGATGGGAGGAACAGAACCGTCTAGCTGGGGAAATGGAACGCGACGCAGGGGAACGTAATAGCCCTGCATGTCAATCAATCCAATATGGCAAGTACCATATCACACCCAAATCTATGGTCAAGTTAAAATATATAAACCCTCATCAAAACTAAATTTAATTATTGCATCACAATAAAATATCTTGAAAATCAAATCTCACTGACTAGAATTGTGTCACTAATGATAAAAAGAGAGATCAATAGATCACAGAATCTGTGCATGTTACATCACACATGTTTTTTTAGCACACCAGTGCATCCTCATTAGAATTAATTAACAAAGAGCAATCTTTCCCACTAAACTTTATGCTAATTCACTCAGAGACTTAAAATTTGGACGGAAATGCATCACAATATGGTATATTAAAAAAGAAACCCTAGTGCCTTTGTCAAGGTGGTAAGAACTGATAGATTATAGCTCCTATGATAATCAGATAAGAGACGTAAAATTAATAATTTAAAATAAGAACTTGGAAAAAGTGCCTGTTTTTCAGTCTTGAAGGCAAAATCTCCAGATGCAGCAGCCAGTTTGTATATTCTGCAGTGCATCACTGCAGCAGACTAGGTAAAATTGTTATTCATCAATTTGCTGCAGAAACTACTTCTTTTTAACTGTTTTGCTGATCCACTCCATTCCATCCTAAAACAGAAAGTAGAAATCAGAAAATGAAAAAGAATAATCCAACATTTCTTTTAGGATGTCACATTAAAACAATTATACCTTTATTCCTTCTCCAGCTGTAGCAGAACACGCTTGTATTTGCCATGCCCGATCTTTGATAGTATGGAGACCTAGCCCAGTGGCTATCTCGGAAGCTGGTGCTGCATGCAAAAGATCCTGTTTATTGGCATAAATTAAGAGTGGTACACCTGCCAATGCTGCTTCAGAAAGCAATTCTTCCAACTCTTGACCTGTTTCTTCCAGTCTTTTACGATCAGCAGAGTCAATCACATATATCTAAGCAAAGACAATGAATTTGCAATGACACCTACTACCAAGTAAAACAAGCACTGGAAAGGTATAAGCAGAAAAGTTGTGTCTCACCAAAACATCTGTATTTTCAAAATAGTTGCGCCAATAGGGACGAATCTTCCGTTGTCCACCAATATCCCATACATTTAAACGAAATCCTTCTGACTGCACTGATTTTATGTTGAATCCTTGCGTAGGAGTAATGTGAGCAATATCTTCTGATGCCAGACTTTTAAGGAGAGTTGTTTTGCCAGCATTATCCAATCCCAATAGAAGAATCCGGAGCTCCTTGTCTGGTGAAGACTTCAGTTTTCTTAAAATCGCCAGGAGTCCCTGAAATTCAAAAGAAGAGAAATAAGGAGCAGTTAAAGTGTGCTTTATTATTTCAATAAATTAAATCAATAGCTCTTTTAAGCCCGCAGGGGGAAGAACAACAGAGTGCATATCAGATTTGGTGTTTTCACAACGATTTTGTGATCTTCTTACCATGATTAGATTCAAATTATACGCCCAAAGACGACTTCAATGTCCCAAGGTTTAGTGTTTGTTCTCTGTCAAGGATGAATGAGATTGTTGCACTCGGCTTGGATAACATTGATTTTCGTTGATACTGTTTGTTTGACAGGCCACACAACTTCATTTGTTTTTCGGCGGCGTCTGCTAGAGAGAGGGGGGGAGAGGAAGGGGGAAGGGGGAACAAAGGGTGGTGGGGAGGCAGGTATGAGAATCTCATATGGCTGTACGAGCACGAATGGCGCGGTGCTCAAAAGCACATCTTGAAGCTGGCAGAGGGAAGCTCCGGGCGAAGCTCCTGACAGCAACCGCGCCGGCTGTTTGCTGTTGCCCGGTTGAACCGTGAATCGATTTGTGGCTCTCTTGGTATTGTGACAGGCTCCAGTGCGGAGGTCGCCGGTTCGGATCCCGTCCGAGAAGCATTTTTGCCGCTCATCTGACCTGCGCGTGCGCGTCGCGGTGAGCGTGCTGATGCGTCGGCCGACATAAGCTGGCGGCCCAGGGGCCAACGGTCGACACCTGGCCGGTGCGAATCTTCTTTTTATTTTTTTGTTCCTTCTTGTCTTCAGTGGGACAGGAGCGAGTTCCAGGCATTAAAAACACCATTCAAATGGCATCCGAGCGTGCTAAGGTGTCGCCAGGCAAAATGAGCAGTCCGGGCCGGGGTTCAACACCCGCCGGCGCGAATCTTCTTTTTCTTTCCCCTTTCTTGTTTCTGTACTGATTGCCTACCCTCCAGGCGCCGTCAACCACAACTTGCCACGTGCCTGTTTGTAGCTACACGATTGTAGCTACAGCCGAAAGTGCCCGAGTCAGATTAAACTGAACCGTCTATAGACAAATTCATTACTTCCGCCAATGCTAGAATATCAACCAGAAGTAAACTGCGCTAAGAACTAAAGCGAAAACGA